TGCTGAAGCCAAAGTAGCACCATAAAAATAGTTTTAAAAGTGTATATAGTGTAAAACATCATGCACTAGTTTATTCCAACGTTTTGCTATGTCGTTTTTAAATATGTGCTGATGTTCTGGAGAACCTTTGATTATTTGGGGTTTTGGGCATATAATTAGATAAAAATATAATTTTTATTTAATTATATGCTGAGTTTGATGAGAAAGTGTTAACGCACCAATGTTTTTTAACTTGGTTTTAAACAACATTCTAACTTCTTCAACAGTGGTTCTTTGTTGAAAACTATAATATAACCATAAAATTTATAACTAAACCTGATGGTTAAATAGTTTTTTTTTTTTTTTTGATGGTTTTAAATAATTTTAAATAATTTGTTAAAGAAATAAATTAAAACTAAATTCTTTGGTAATATAAACAAAGCAAGTTAATTGTTATGCATATCAGCAAGTAAATTTATTATATGCCTTATCAATAAAAACAAACTTTTTATTATTTTGTAATTAAAATCTCATTATGATTTTGTTTTGTTATTTGTCTTATAGCACCTCTAATATCTTGGCGCCAGGGTCACATATGTCTTATTTGCCCCTCCCTCATGGAGGCCCTGTGCAAAATTTGTTTTTAATTAATTAAAACATTTTAAAATTGTACGCTAATGTACTCTAAATAAAGTTAAGAAAATTTAGAAAAAGGTTTTTTTTGAGTTGTTAAAGTTTATATTATATTGTTATATACTTATTCTTACCTAAAATAAGTATATAAATTTTCATATAATTATTCTTATAAATGTATTTTATATATATGATAATTATTATAAATTTATTATATATATTTATATTATATAATAAATTTATTATATATATGTATATATTATATATATATATATATATATATATATATATATATATATATATATATATATATATATATACATATATATATGTATATATGTATTTATGTATTATATATATATATATATATAAATATATATATATATATATATATATATATATATATATATATATATATATATATATATATATA